CACTTCGTCAAGCAATAGAGGGAAACACTTCTTGTCAAGAAGGCTTGAATACACAAGCACACCACCAATCCACCTAAACTCATGTCTCGGAATACTACAGTTGTATCTATTTCAGTTACAAAACTAACTTCTGGATGCCTACTTGGACGCGTTATGTGGAATGCCATGGCCATCACATACCTCCAAAAGGACTATTGGGCGGTGCTCTTTACACTAACAGTCAAATTCTGGGCCATTACTAGGCCTCCTTCGAAATGCCATTCACATCGCTATTTCGAACTCAAACCATGGCGAACCTTCGCACATCGAGTACTTTTGGGGTGGCCAAACAAACTCCGTTTCTGTCGGTTGAAAACAGTCACATGTAAACGGTTTTTTCTTTCCTCCAGCGAATTCCCCGCCAGCCGCTTTTGCCGGCTGTATTAGGAGCACTTATGAAAGGTGCTAGGATTCTTTGCACGGTCTGTGGTAATCTCTGCAACCAAAGTTGCTTGAGAAGCGATTCCTCAATAACGAAGTCTACAACCAGTTGCTTCATCTGACGAAGCAGTTGCGTCAGCTTACAATCGCCACAATGCACATCCCTGAAAAGTTCTTGCACTTTCTGCTGGTCAGTAAGTGCAACACATTTGATGAGGGCGGTTTTGAGGCGACTGTAAGGATTCGGCGCTGGGTCATCTATCACGTCCGAGACGTCATCGATCACATTTTCCGGTAAGCTGACGATGACTAAGTTGGACTTAGTTTGTTGTAATCGAATGTGTCTGAATGCAAACTGAGCTTCCACATGGGAGAACCACGTGGATGGTCTGTGGGCCCAGAAGGTGGGAGGCTGAAGGGTGATGGCCATCTGCGCAGTCGGGTCGTTGTCAGCCAGTGATAAGGGGTTTAACGGGGCACGATGCTGATAGTAAAAAACTACAATGTAAAAATAACAAATGGGGGGTGCTACGAAAAAATGCATAACCATGCCAAAAAAATTAGGTCAAATAAATCAACGCAGGATAAGGAAAAAAGTACTAGGCAAAGTAAGAAGTGATACTCAGGCTCGCCAATTTCAGGGATGCGTGTTACTATTCCGTAACGTTCTACCGACGCTGTTTAACTTGATGCGCTCTAGTGCCTGCTTAACCGGTACCTTACCTAACGTGCAGGTGCTGATAACGAAACACAAATCAAAAGAGCTGGCTTGAGAATATATTTGAAGAAGCAATGCACTTAATAAGAGTGAATGTAATGGTAGTGAACGGCGGAAAAGTTCATTAAAATGATCTGGCTAGCAACCATGAGCTAGGAACTCTGATTACTTACGTGCTAACCAGCCCGAAGGAAGCGCAAAATGGCGTCCAAACCTGCTCGGATGCATGCTCGTTAAAACAAAACTTAAAACACCCCGAGCATACGGAGGACAGCTAGAGGTTTATTTAGTTAATTTGATTTTTATCTATTTATTTTAGCCCTGGTTGCATTTTGGTGCCGGGAAGGTGCACTACAATTGCACTTGTCACAGAGGGACGTGATCGACTGAATGATGTTTAGGGCAATGTTTATTGTCCATATTCATGTCAAGTAACTTCGCAATTATCAAGCGTGGCATTCATAGTTTCAATTTCTCCGCTTCCTATGTGATATTTGCAGTGGAGTTTTCGAGTTATGACAGCATAACTAACCATGTATTTTCTGCCGGCTCAATAAGCAAAGATACTGGTAATCTGTTTCTACACTTAACCAAGTCGGTTATAATTGCTGCTGCTATTTCCTATCTTATTGTGTGGCTGAATGCCTACTTATGGCCGAGCTTTGGTCTAGATTCTTTGTCTTATTAGAATTCGCTAACCTAGGTTAGGCCAAATTTTTGTGCTCGGATAACTTAAGTTACTTTGATCAACTACTTTAAAACACACATTTGGCCTCTCGATTATTGCACGGAACCTCGCAGAATAAATTCATCTGCCCGAAAGGATTATTAGAACATTTCTGCCCACGAGGCTTTTATGTAGACGAGATTGTAAGTCTGAATACCACTTTAATCCCTCGAGCTGAGGAGTTTACCAACAGAAAACTGGTTAGAGACAGGCCTGCTAGAGATCTACAACATTTTATCGGTTGAGGCTGCCAGATTACCGAATGCAACCGACAGCAGTGTCATCAGAATGGTTTATACCGGCTGTGGTAGCTCCGACCAAACCTATTCGCAGAGAATGCCATCACTGAACTCACGTTAACCAGAAGTTTCTCTTCTTTTCGAGAGCACCTCAGTAGTCGAACTGTCCTCCAGTTCCATGCTATGAAGCGATTTACCTAAACATTGACGATTTGCGGATGGCTCTCCTTCAGTACTGTTGTTCTAGGCAGGGTACGAGGACTACCTAATTCAGCATTAAACAAGCGTGCCGTATCACACGTGCTAAACGTCTGCAGTAGTGATTTTATAATTTCAAGAAATCGAGATCGAGGGTCAGCGACTTTGTCCTCGAAGACTGCCTCCGGTGTATGAAGACGTTCTTTGCATTCTATGACTAGAATAGCGCAGGGCTGAATCAGTCAAGTGATCAGTTTTCTATCAAAAAGTTCAGGAGTTCAAAACACAGGGATACGGAAGTTTATAAATCAGCAGATAAAATTCATGAACGCAGAAATAATATGAACAAGTACGAAAAGCAGAATGTCCGCCAGTTTGGTAATTGTCCTTGCATGATTCTGACAGACTCAGAGGTTAATCACTTGTTCTCAGTACTCTCAGAAATCCCACGGGTTCGAGACTAAGAAAGGCCACTCTACGGGAAAAACGGTACTTCGCTTTAATATGATTCCACCACGGCTTCCGGATCTTTTTCAAATGTCCTATAGTGTCATCCGCCCTGAAGTGAGGAAACAAAACTGAAAATTCCTAAGTCATTATTCAGAATGGGTAAGGTTCAGCCCAGGTCACCCCTCTTTCCCCTATAATTCAAAGGGAAAGGGTCGAGCCGTACTAACGGTGGTTTAGGGGTATCGCTTTGGACCCATTCTGGCGTACCGGCTTTCTTTTTAAAGCACGAGCTAGCCCCCTGGATACATTATTCTAAGTAAGAGCGAACGAAAGCAGGGCATAGAGCCCTCTGCACCTCTTCATCAAATCATTTGGTTGTTTTACGAAGCAGCTAAATATGCGAAACAAAGCTAGCTGCAAAGGTATTACAGTTAGCACTCATCTCTAAGTCGGGACTTCAGAAATGCCTAAATCATTTTGTTCCAGAATTTAAGGAATTGATTGAATGTTCACTGAACAGCCACCAAAAACGTCACCCATCATTGACATCGCGGTACTTTTGCCAGAAAGAAGTTCTAGACCCCATCGTATAGGCCATTCAACCAGTTCATCAGTGTCAACTGGTAGTGCAGATCTCCGTCACCATAGCTATGAATGGTCCACACCTTGATGTCTTCAGCAAGTAGAAACGGTGATAGCGCCAGCATACTCCGCATTTCCTTAAAGTGATGAAGGAAGAGTGGCGGTCTGAGGATGGAGCCCTAGGATATACCGCTAGTGGCAGATTGCTACTGACCCTTACTACTTGCACTTTTTTGCACAAGGTTTCCCTGATCCGGGCATGAAAGATATCGTTAATTACAAACGTGCGAAGCCTCTTCAGTAATCCTGCATGTGGCACCTTGTCAGGAGCCTAGGTGAAGCCATTGATCACCACTCCAAAGGGGTAAACCGTCCCTCACCCCAACTAGGTCCCTCGTTGTCGCCATTGGGATTGTCAAACAAGAGCGTCGTCTCCAAAACCAAGCTGTTGCTGTTTCAGCAGGTCATAAGCTTCTGAATGTTTCAGCGTCTCATCCCATGTTATCTTCGCAATCCTAAATGTGATGATAGTGTGGTCAACTGGTCGGTAATCGGTCATTTGTTTTCTATTACCTCCCTCAAACACAGGACTTATTTTAAAACCCTCCGAACCCGTAGGCAGGTGTATCCGACACAATGACAGTGACGGAATCACGCAATTCATCTGAACCGAGTGACTTCATGGGCTTTAAGTTTCTGAGTAGTCAAGCAAAATGAGGTGCATTAGTGCCGACTACTATCCTTGATTTATTCCCAGTGTCCCACTTCCTAAAGTTTGGTGCGAAGCCATCAGAAAGACAACCCGGACTTCGGCAGAGTTTTCATACTGTCACATCTTGCCCAAACATAACTTAAGAGCCCCACACATGCCCATGCAGTGTGCCTCAGAAGCAGTTGAGAGAATCTACAGTCTGTGATAAATCCACAGAAATTTACCACCACCGTTGCGAGCCATGAATCTATCGGTCCTAATGCCTGCTCAACCTGAGAAGATTGGGAAGATATCAACTATCACTAGACACTTTTCAGAGATGGCTATTTCATCAGGGTTCAGCTACTCATCCGGATCACTCAGCTAAAAGGTTTCCTTTTTGTGGGTGTTTGCAAAGACGTCCAAATTCATGAACGTATCAAGTCCCTAGACCATACTACCCGAAAACCCAGAAATTACAGTTATTTGCCTCCCCATCTTCTGAAGCTTTCAGTTGGAACAATGCCCTTTTTTCTCCATCCTGCACTCAAGGGGTCGAATGAGACATATGAGTGCATTGACATCCAGGCTACTTTGTCTGATTCCTTTAAATGGATATTTAGTTAACATGTAGCAGGGACCTGCCCAGAACTAACTAAACTTTCATATTTTATCAGGGGGCTTTTGTCCTCCTTACCTGTTACCAGATTAACAACCACAAGAAGCAGCTATCCACGGACTCCAGATGCAGATACCAGTTAAGTAAAAGCTCCATCTATTCCTTCAAAAACCATTTTAACCGTTTTCCGAAATATTATGAGACTATTTTAAAAGCCAGTATTTCTAAAGGTTCTTTGACCAACAACTATTCTTATTTCTTCGGCATAAGCTTACAAAAAATCAACCCACTGTTCTTCTGTTTTCCAACAGAAGAATTTTTAAGAACAATCTTCACAGAATGTGTTAATACCCATCAATTGAAATTTGAAGTTTTGTAGTGGCGGTATTACTACAATTCTGTGTTTTTAAACTGTGAGTTTCCTGTGGAGTTTCTTATTTTTGTGCTTATGTCAGTTTAGTCGCTTTAATTAATAATTTTGAGTGCGTGTAGATTATGTAATGGTCATCTGGGTTTTGGATAAGGGCTATCACACTGGTTGTAAATTAGTAGAAGTCTCTGCTTTTAAAAGGGTAATAGAATAGCAATGTTTCGATTGGAAACTATGAAGAAGTTCAGCTGTTTTGAGGGAGTCATATTATTTAGGTAAAGAAAGCTAAAGCATGGTTGTGTTCGAAAAGGAGTGGTTTAAATTCCAACCTTTACTCTCAGGGAGGAAAGTGCTTCAGTTTCAAGTATAGCCAGCCGGGTTGTCTGTACTAATCCTGATAGCACGAATCCGTACTAAAAGTCGGTTTCTCGTAAGCTGTGAATGCAGGACCTGCTACCTCAAGTCCTGGCAATCGTTTCTGATTGGTGAATGCCCTGTGAGAAAAACAGACTTCCATTTGTACTTTATTCAATCTTCGCTTCCGAACCTTTTCGAGATGACCCCTTAAACAATCACTTTTAGGAGGACGAAGTTTAGAATGTTCAACATCAAATTTATTCAAAATAGGGAAAAGCAACAGGATTTCCTACGAAGTGGTGCGGATTCAGATGTACTACGTATTTTCATAGGGGAGGTGGGAAAATCGTCTCACCAACTTATTGGTTACGTTTTATACCTTTTACAATGTCTGCTCTTTGCCTGAAGCAAGGACTAGCCGTCTGTATACAGTATTAGAGTTATGGTCTTACGCAAGTGGGGCAATATCTTACATATTTCAAAGTACTTGAAAGTTCTACGAAGTGACCGTAGCATGCGGAATGTTTTGGCTGGACCTGGTTCATACTGCCCGTTGTTTTCCGCTTATGACTTGACAACCCCCAGATATTTTTCTCACGCAATGCATGCTTCACCCCTCTAATGAGTAAGAATACTACATCTCTTGATCAATGTGCATTACTACACTTTTGCTGGAGTTGGTTTTCAGGCATCAGCATTTAGACTAGATAGTCAGTTTATCTTAGTTTAGAGTGCTTAAGTATTTTCATTATTGTGAACGACCCTCCAAACCCTAGCGTTCTCTGCAAACAGAAGGAATAGTGACTCAGGCAAACTTGGAATTTCATTACCATAGAGCAGGTCGAGGAAAAATCATGGTATAATACTCTGTGGAACCTCATTTGTTGAGTTGGAATGCATTCAGCAACCAAGTGTAGTAGCTAAAGCCACTCCTCTTGGGGCGGGTGTGATAGCGTATCTACCTGGTTGCCCACACCTCGATAGATGGAGCGAGGCTGACTGGTTAAAAGTCAACTGCCTAGACCAGTTAGCTACGGCGCCAGTCAGGCTGTACACTCGCTCTAACACTTAACGTCTCATCATGCAGGTATTTATGAATCCACTCTTCCATGCTCAAATCTGTATCAAAACCGACTAGCTTCAAAAAGCCCAAATGCTTTACTGGAGTCAGTAAACACTATCAACAGCCAGTTTGTACTTTGCTTCTACCTAGTATCCTCTGCGAAACAACTTTGTCATGTAACATTGTCCGGGTTCCAAGCCGTATCGCTTCTGTGCCGATAAGTCACGTGCTTCCATCAGATTCCGACCCTGATCTCCGAGACATTTACAACTACAAAAGGCAAACTAATAAGCCGTTAATTAATGACTGACTGTCTGCTCCCAGCCTCCAAACTAAAGAGAACATGAAGTCGACGTAGAACGTTGCATACAAATGCATCGGTTCAAGTTGTCGTACTTCACAGCAGTTTACAGAAAAAAGTAAGATATCAGAGTAGGCAAAATTTTGAAAATGAACAAGTTCGGCATCGTCAAGTGGGTAGTTCCATTAGCTCTTAGACAACGAGTATGGTTTGAAGCCTGGTACATAAACGAGGTCAGTGACATTATTGAATTGCACATCATTGCTGTTGGTAGGTTTTCCTAACTTAATGAGAAAAAAATCCGCATCTGAAAAATCTGATGTATTTCTGCGATGCATTAGAACGGTATGATCACACACTTATGATTTTATGTATACTGTGTGAAGATGAAATGCAAGGAAGTCAGTACAACATGCGTTTGTTAACAATATAAATCAGAATGGAGTATCGTGACATCGCTATATCAAACCGACAAAATTGACATAGAACCTAGCACACAAGTGCATGGGTTCAAGTTGCCTTGCTTCACAGTAGTTTACAAATGAAAATAAAGATAGCAGAGTAGGTGAAGTTGTGAGAGAATAAACAATTTTAGGATAGAGGTTAGTGTGAATATTCAACCTTTAGAAGATGTCAAAATGAACACATCCCCACTATTGTGACTGACTGCCAGCCCTCTCACCGAAAGTCCTCAACCACTGATTCAAATCGTTTCGAGAACTGTAACCATGCAGGAATCAGACCAACAGTGTCTTAGTAGTCTACATCTCCCAGCACAGCTCAGACCAACAGTGAACGACTTCATGGATTGGTGCCATGTCTTGGTCTGGCCACCCTGAACTCTCTTCCAACCTAATCCAACTTCGCCTAGCATGGGACGTCGAGGTAGGCGGTGGCTTGACATGCGCAACACATGTCCAAGCAATCTCAGTTGACTAAGGTTCACAACTTCATCAACCGACTTGCCTGCCTTGCTTAATACCCTTCTCCTGACCTCAGCATTTCCCACACGGTGATTCCACCAAATGCGAGCAATGCTACGAAGACATCTGTGATCAAAACCTTGTAATCGCTCCATGTCTTCTACTTTTAACAGCCATGCCTCACAGCTGTGTAGTAGGACGGAATGGACTGCAACTGGGTATACTCGCCGTTTGATAGATAGTCGGATATCTGGCCAGTCGGTGTCACAGATATTGCAAGTTGTCAAATGCTAAACAGGCCTTTTGTATCCGAGATGAGATTTCGTCAACAACCAGTTGGTTCGGGCTGATGCAACTGCCCAAGTACGTGAAGTGGTCGACATACTCCACGACTCCACTCTGAATCTTTAAACTACGAGTAGTTGCAGGCCAGCTCTGAAGCATTATCTTGTATATGACAGGTGCGAAATGTGTGCTGAACATACTCAGATTTCAGCTCAGCGCGTTCAAGAGACCCCTACCTGCATTTTTTTTTTTCAGCGTCTTCACTTAGCAGAACTATATTGTCTGCGCACTCCAATTCAACCAGATGACCTTCCAGGGAGTAGATCAGTCCCTGTGTCTGTTGGTACGTCTATAACGAATATAAGTAGGAATGGCGACATTGGGCATCCCTACTGGATACCACCAGTTGTCATCAATTCGGATAACAACTCTCCATTAGATGTTACATAGCTGTTTGAGTTTTGAACTGTGGCAGTTTGAAGCAGTTCACTTTCGCGCGAGATTTCACTTTGATTTTATGTTTCTACGTATCCAGATAGTTAGGCGGTGCTTGAATCACTTGGTAAACTTACCTGTGCTGTCACCGAGCACTTAGGCTGTTACTCACCATGTCTTGCTTTTTTATGAACTCCCGGCGGGAATATTTAATTTATCTGTTCCATGCTCGGTTACTCAGAGAAAATGGTAAGACGCCTTGGTGTGCTCCATTTTCCGTCCGAAAGCTGCTAACTTAATGCGGTGGTCGAGCTTGTATATCACAGTGACCCGACGAGCTGCGCTGGTTGAAACGGTTGTTCCCTCGGCGTCCTACCGTACCAGAAAGGTCATTTGAATGGGGATTAGACAAGAAGCAGTTACCACTATAGTGTAAATTGCTACGCTATGCTATGAGTCTGAGGGCAACGTCATACTGCTAACGGTATCGGGCGTGACATCAGCAAGGTGTTTCCTCTGTATGACTAGCAGTACCACGCTGATGCTGCCTTTCTTATGGGGAGGGGAGAGGGTTAGAATAGATCGGTCGCGAAATTGCACAACCATCACATCACAGCATGCCGATGTCTGCGACAAGTACTCATGGTTGAATTCCAAAGAAAAACTGACATCTCAGACACGTGAAACGATCACATGTGACCGGACTAAAGCAGATGTTGCACACAATTCTTTTTCGCTTCCAGCTACCTGAAGAATAACTAGCTTTCCGTGGTGTGGGTACCCTGGATCGTCAAATGCCCGCACACTTCCAGTAGTATGCAAGACCCAATCCAACAACCTATTCTCCTCAATCCTCTCGATTGCTTTCACCTGTTACCATTACCAACGATCAACGTCATCAAAACTTCTTTCCTAATATCCTAGGACCCTGCCATCGATTTCATGTGAGAGCTTCCTACATCCGAACTCTATGTCAAATTGGACAGCAGGCATTGCTCGCCAAAACATGAAAACGAATCCATAGATGCATGCTGTTTTGAAACACGTATGCAGGACCCGAATGTTATTAATTAAATTGACCTAATGTGAGCAGTGTAGGTAATATTCAAAACTCACTTTTAGAGTATCCGGAAACCCAGTGACTAGCTCTCATGGACTCACTGGTGTAGGGACAGGACTGAACTGTAGGGCAGAAAATACGCTTCTTGACAGGATACCAATCAAGCGACGAGGTTTCCCTCTCGTCTCCTGATTACACAGACGTTAACCTAATCGGTGGAGAATTTTCGTTAGACCTGGAATATGTAGATGACATTGTCTTGTTAGGTGTATGTCTCTGACTGTTGGTTTGAGCTATGTGGGGCGATGCAGACTAGGTGGTTGGAGTCCGCAGGACAAGAACCAGTGGTTGGAGACTAGGTGATATGGCTCAGAACCGATGTCAGTGGCGCAGATTAACACATACATTATCCTCATTTTAACGACTTTATACCGAGTCTCACCACCCTCATTCTTCATTTCTCTCTTTTCGTACTTTATATTTCTTCTGACTGCATTCTCTTATCTTCATTTTGCGCCTCACTGCCTTTTAACTTGATGTACTGATATGAGCTGTGGCAACTCGGACCGTTACGCAGCAATCCCTGGTCCTAGGTTGATCTGGATGGATGGATGATACC